ATTTAACCTGTTTGAATCATGTCCATGTTTTTATCATTTTTTGTTTCCACATAGCAAGTGCCAAAACCTTTACCGTAAGTTTCGTACCATTCCAATAAAAAAATAAAAAATAAAAAAAAAAATCTGGGCAAAACCATTTGAATTGAATGAAAACTTTGCCTCATGTCGTCCGAAATCAGACGTTCACTCTCACTACAATAACTGTGAACGAGGAACGACAGAATTGGCCTTCCCATGTGGCCCTGGTGACATACACAACCTCAAAAGGATTTTGGAAAGGTCTTGTTTTTTATTTCTATCATTATAAATGCTGTCTGATAGATCCACTGTCACTATTAAAAATCCACTCCAAACTATGATCCAAACTTCTCAGTGATATTGATATGCTGGAAGGAGATATGACACACACAGTGATATGAATGATCTGCTCGGTTGCCTTGGTGACAGCAGGGGACCACTGGGTTTGCCTTGAGGAACGCATTGGCAAATTCACCCACGCATGGGGCAGCACACACACACACACACACACTTGCAGCAAGTAGTGTGAGGAAATGAACAGAGGCAGAGGAAAGTGTCTTTGCTGACATCATCACACGCATCACTTCCTGCCGACATCACTTCTGTGGGCTTCGTTGTGTTGTCCCTGCCGGGGTTATTCGCACACTTCGCAGGCTCGTCATGTGTCCAGTTTGCCTTTCTTTCAGTTTGTGAAGTGATTGATGTGCTAACCTAGTGAGCAACCTACCTAGACAGCATTTTTAGGTCAGCATAGACACTCTCAACACAGAGCCAGTCAGCAAAACTGAGCTGTCCCGAGAGAGTGTGCCGCTTCACTGTGGTTAAGAGGGAAACAGCTGATTTTAATGTTGCAAAATTAATCCATGTGGTAAAATTGAGAAAATTGTACTCAATTCAGTTCAGTTCGAAGGAAACGCTTCAATACTGAAAAGTGTCTATGAGAATACAGTATATTTTAGTGTTTAAAACATTTGGAGAAAAAGAAGTACACTTTTACTAATACTACTGCAAATACTATACTTTGAAAGAATATAATTTGTCAAACTGAATGTAGTGTTTTCTAAACGGAAGCCCTGAACCGCAACCTAAAAAAAAAAAAAGTCATAAAAAAAAAAAAATCTGTAAAAAAAAAAAAATCTAGCATTTCGAGATTAAAGTCGAAATGTTTTGAGATTAAAGTCGAAATGTTTCGAGATTAAAGTCGAAATGTTTCGAGATTAAAGTCGAAATGTTTCGAGATTAAAGTCGAAATGTTCGAGATTAAAGTCGGAATGTTTCGAGATTAAAGTCGGAATGTTTCGAGATTAAAGTCGAAATGTTTCGAGATTAAAGTCGAAATGTTTCGAGATTAAAGTCGAAACATTGTGCATTCATAACAGTGCGCGTCCACTGGCTCAGAGCGCGCGCGTGTTCGTGTGAAGTCGAACTGCCATGGATAAACACAAAATAGTAGCTTTTTACTTTTATCTGAATTACTTATCTTACTTTATCGTTATAAAATATAATGCGCCGGAATAGACTTTAACCTATAGGAAAACCAACACGGAAAACACTTTTCAGACTGGATGGAGAAATCCAGCTTTATGAATGAATGAATGAATGAATAGGGCATTTATATAGCGCTTTCATATATGCCTGCACTCAAAGTGCTTTACAATCATATCAGAGAATCTCTCCTCAACCATAAGTGGTTATTAAATCTTAGGAAATCACAGGATCCGGCCAAATGATTGGATACAGAATGATGCACTTAAAATGTATCCAGAGTGTATTTACGTTGAAGAGGGAGACCGAACAGTTACTGTTGTGTTCTCGACCCAGATAGTGTTGACTAGACGAGCACGAAAACACCTCAGAAACACTGCCACTTGCACGTGTGACGTGTGTAGAATTTTGTTGAAAGCCCAGATAAAAGTAAAAAGCTACTATTTTGTGTTTATCCATTGCAGTTCGACTTCACACACACACACATACGCGCTCTGAGCCAGTGGACGCGCACTGTTATGAATTCCAGTTTCGACTTTAATCTCGAAACATTCTGACTTTAATCTCGAAACATTTCGACTTTAATCTCGAAACATTTCGACTTTAATCTCGAAACATTTCGACTTTAATCTCGAAATGCTAGATTTTTATTTTTTTTTTACAGATTTTTTTTTTTTTTTTTTTTACAGATTTTTTTTTTTTTTTTAGGTTGCGGTTCAGGGCTTCCGTAGTTTTCAGACACTTGGTTACTAATTATTTACCGTTAAGCGGAAAATGAATATAGTTTTATTTACGATAAATGCAGTTACTTGAACTTTTTTGAGTAAGGCCAAAGTTCTCAGTTACCACAAGATTTACCACAGTTTAAGTTGGAAATTCAATTTTCAGGTCTAAGCTCAAAAAGTGAATACATTGATTATAAATACAGCGTAAATATCATTTAGTACCATAAAATCCTGTAAAAATACTAAATATTAAATAAAAAAAACATTATCAAACTAAAATATAGCACATTCATTTCATTGACAAAACAACAAAACGGTCTCATATTTGACCAACGCACGAATCTAAGACCAGCAAACCGTTCTAAGTTGGTTGGCTTTCTTTTCCTCTGACAATCCATGAGCTGTAGAGCTTTTCACTTCATGAGTCTGTGTAAGTGTGTGTGTTCATGACCGTATCATCTGCAGTTCTCTCTCTGATAGCTTTATACTTGGCCAGGCATATTGCAATTGTATTTTTTCCCACCTTAGATAATTATTGTATCCCTTTAAACTCCAAAATGACATACTTAAATGTCTTTTTCTTGAAATGCCTTAAAATATCTTGAATGTAACCCGACACCCTTGCCTCATTTAGTATGCGCGGTTCTATGAATATGCAAATGAGGATGAATATAACTCTATCAGTTCGGTCTGATCGCTTTCACTGCTGGTTTTATCTCAGGTGTGTAATCATCATCCCGCTCAGATCACAGAGTCCGCGTGCGGTACAGGTGCGCCGGTTACCTGTCAGTCTGTTGCCATGGCGCTGTAGTGACACGGGGATAGAGTGACTGTGTGTAAACAACAGAGCGGGTCGGTTTCTCACCGCCAGACTATAACAGGATCGCTCTTCAGCCCCATGAAAGTTTGAGGAGAACTTGACACACAGAAGAGGAGTAGGACTCGTGTGCCTGTTGTTGTCGGACAGCCTGTGAGATGTGTACATGTGTGCTGTATGAGAGGAAGCAGTAACCCTAGCCTGTGTGTGTGTGTGTTGTGTACTCAGTTGTGAGTAGTGCTCTTATGTTGCAGTCAAATATAGATAATAATGGCTGAACGTAGCCAACGTCTGTCTACTTGCTCTGTTCCTC